AGAGAGAGAGAGAGAGAGAGAGAGAGAGAGAGAGAGAGAGAGAGAGAGAGAGAGAGAGAGAGAGAGAGAGAGAGAAAGAGAGAGTGAGTGAAGAGAGAGTTTGAGAATATTGTGAGGTGTAGGTTTGACAAAGTTGGAGAAGTTTGGAGTATTATAGGGAGAAGTTGGAACTATTAGGTTAGTGGGTTTCCTAGGCATGTTCTTAGGGTGGCTAATTGATACACTTGGAGATATGGCTGCGTAATTGAAGAAAATTTGGAGAATTAAAATATTCTCCTACTATGTAACTGATAAACTGGCTAAAACGGTACGCGCTTTTTCCCCCAAAGTGTTCCAAATTGAAAACGGATCGCGTTTTTTGAATCAAACTGTCAAAACTAAAATTTTGATATAATTAAATTATTTTTCTGAACACTTTTATTTTCCAGTGTTCGGGTGTGTCTCAGTCATTAATTAATATTTAAATTAATTAATTGTTTTAGGCCTAAATTCGGGGCGTTACATTTATCTCCGCCTTAAAATAATTTTGTCCTTAAAATTACCTGATCACTGGTCACTGAGAAGTTGTAGATATTGAGATCGCATGGACTCCTCAGTTTCCCATGTTGCTTCTTCGACAGAGTGACTTCTCCAAAGAACCTTAACTAAGGGTATAGTTTTGTTCCTCAATACTCAAACTTCTCGTGCAAGTATCTCTACAGGTTCCTCTTCATAGGAAAGATTCTCATCCAAAGTGACTATCTCTGTTGGAATAACGTTAGATGGATCTGATCTGTATCTTCTCAACATTGACACATGAAAAACATCGTGAATATTTTTTATCTCTAGTGGAAATTCCAACCTGTAGGCTACAGGTCCCACACGTTCTGTAACTTTGTATGGGCCTATAAACCTTGGACTGAGTTTCCCCTTTTTGCCAAAGCGTAAAACTTTCTTCCAAGGAGAAACTTTCAAGAATACATACCCTGTCGCCAACGGCATATTCAATATCGCGTCGCTTAAGGTCTGCATATGATTTGTGTGTGTCTACTGCCAACTGAAATCGTTCCCTAATCAACTGAACTTTTTCCTCTGTTTCGCGCACTAGTTCTGGACCTTTGAGTTTTCTCTCACTCAATTCGGTGCAACAAACTGGTGTTCGACATTTCCTTCCGTACAGTGCCTCATGCGGAGCCATTTCGATACTTTCCTCATAACTATTGTTATAGGAAAATTCCATCAGAGGTAGATATTTTTCCCAATTGCTTCCAAAATCAATAACGCACGCACGCATCATATCTTCATGAAAAGTTGTGCTGAAATGTAGTTTGGAACCAAGAGCTTTTTGTAAACTTTTCCAAAATTGGGAAGTAAAACGAGGATCGCGGTCTGAAATTGTAGGAACTCAGGCGCTACCAACTCTTCTAAAACCAATTGGTGTTAGAAGAGACGCATACCCTAGCCTTATAGTGCATTCAACACACAAGCACCCACGACATTCGATTGTGACTTGGCCCACATAGCCCCCGCCACGGGACAATTGTTGCACACATGACCAACAATCTCCCCCTCAGCAATTGCTCCCGCTGGGAATCGAACTCGTGACTTGGGCTCCGATACCACTTGTAGGAACTCAGGCGCTACAAACTCTTCAAAAACCAATTGGTGTTAGAAGAGGCGCATACCCTAGCCTTATAGTGCATTCAACACACAAGCGCCCACGACATTCGATTGTGACTTGGCCCACATAGCCTCCGCCACGGGACAATTGTTGCACACATGACCAACAGAAGTACTCTATGTAGTCTGATAATCTCGCGGATATACAACTCAGCCAGATGCTGTAGTGTAAAATCTCACTGAATTGGTAAGAAATGCGCCGATTTTGTCAAACAATCAACAATAACCCATACTGCATCATTCTTCTTTGGAGACAATGGTAATCCAACCACGAAATCCATCGTAATGCGGTCCCATTTCCACTTAGGGATGATGATCTGCTATAAAAGTTCTGATGGTACCTGATGTTCGGCTTTGACTTGCTGACAAGTCATACACCTCGATGTGAATTCAGTAATCTCCCTTTTCATGGCTGACCACCAATAATGTTTCTTCAGATCTTGAAACATTTTGTTACTACCGGGATGCATGGTATATACGGTTCCGTGAGCTTCACGCAATAAGCGATCTCTCACATCACCTGATGGTACAACCAAACGGTCTCGATAGTATAAAGTACCATTATCTCGAATAACAAAATCCTGTTTCTCTCCCTTGGAAACAAGCTCACGTGTCTCGAGACAAAAGGTATCCTGATGCTGTGCTAAAATGATACCTTTATCGAATGTGGGTCGTACGTGAAGTTCAGCAAGAGTCTTACGACTAAGAGCATCGGCTACCACATTCGCTTTACCAGGATGATAAGCGATATGACAGTCATAGTCCTTAATAAACTCTAGTCACCTTCTCTATCGAAGGTTTAACTCCTTCTGGCTCATCAAATACTGTAAACTCTTGTGATCAGTGAATATGCGAGTCGTATCGCTGTATAAATAATGTCTCCAAATTTTCAATGCCAGAACAATAGCTGCTAACTCCAAATCATGAGTTGGATAATTGCATTCATGAGGTTTCAGTTGTCATAATGCATAAGCTATGACCTTGCCTTCCTGCATCAGTACTGTAATGCCCCAAAAATAGGCCTATCAGAGTTAATTAATTTATAATTAATTAGTTACTGAGAAGGACCCAAAAATAAGTAAATTCTAAAGTTTGTCAATAAATAATGAAAATTATATCAATGTGTAGAGTTTGACTGTCTGACCCCAACGGTTCAATCGGATTTCAATTTGGAGAAAGTTGGACCAAAAAGTATACCCCGACTGGGACCAAATATTAGTCTCAATCAGGGACTACACACCAAACGGCGCCCTGTTCAATTACGCCGATTCCAAATCGCCGCACAATCACGGAAGCAACCAAGCCTGTGTCTTCTTCTTCTCCACTGGCCTATTTAAGCACAACTCAACTCCCTCAATTCCTCACCAAAAACATTCATTCTTCCTCCTATATTGTTCCTTGCTGAGAGTAGAGTGCAGTGGTGCTGTCATCTTTGTGTGAGGTCGCCGGAGCAGTAAGATAGAGTCGCCAGAAGTTTCGCCGGAAAATCGTCAAAACCTCCCTTACGCTTTGAGGTAAGCCCCTAGATATATCTAATGACTAGAATGTTCATATAGGTCGTTTCTACGTTCATAAATGGTCATTTGGTTGAGTTTTGTGTTTGACATGTTTGAAGAACCAAGAATCATAAACCTTGAATTTGATGTTAAAAATATGTTTTAATAATTCTAATATGATCTATGAACCTTGGAGAACATCTCTATATAGTTTAATTGAAGTTCGGTGACTAAAAATGGTTTTCCCGAAAAATGGACCGAGGTTGAAGACGAATGAACAGTGGCTGAAAATCCACAGAGTGGATCGATCC